TTGGAGCATCGGAGGCCCTCTTGGAGCCATCTTGGACGCGCGAACCCCTCCGTCCTTCCCCGTCCAGACCCGGGGAGGGGGGGGAGAGATAAACCTCCCGGAATGACAGAGTTTAAAAAAGAGAGATACATCGTTTGACCACTCTGCATCGCCCACAGGACTGGTTGGATTCGTGGGGCTTCAGCCATACGGAATCTCGAAACAGTCGTGTGAATTTGTCAGACGCAGGTGCGCGGCGCTACGGCGAGAGCCACATGTTGACAAGGAACGTCTTCCTTCCTTCGAACTAACTTGGCATTGCTCGGACGTGTGCATTTTCCTTCGGCGAGGACCATCGAGGAGCATCCTTGATCATTTCGCGAAAAAGCCACGCACGAAACCGAAACAAACACAGGAAATGGACGTCCGAGCGATGGCCAGACTAATTGCCGGACAGACTGCAGACGAGTGTGCACGACGCGGAGGCGAGGGCCACGTGCCCTCCATCCTCGAAGCTGCTGCGATGTGTGCAGACGACTGTGCGCGGCGCCGAGGCGCGAGCCACATTTTTGCAGGGGGCCCGCCCTCCATCCGCAGAGCTCCTGCGAAGCTTAGCATCGTGGTCGTGCCTGCTGTGGGCGCCCGAGGCGCAACGCCAGGTCCGCCCTGCCGACACGCTGCTCCGGGGCTCCACTGGGAGGAGGTGCTTTTCAAAGGAGACAGCAGCACCAGCAGCAGCAGCAGGAGGAGGAGGAGGAGGAGGAATCGGAGGCGGAGGAGGTTGAGGGGTTGAGGGAAGGGGAGGGGGAGGGGGAGGCGGAGGCGAGGGATTCGCTTCACTGATGGATACGGATACGGCCCGCAGCTCAGACTTCAAATGAGAAGGAGGAGGAGGAGGAGGAGGAGGAGGAAAAGGACGAGGATGGGGCGACCATCGGGTGGAGGAGGAGGAGGAGGTGGGAGGAGGGAGGAGAGCAGGAGGGCGAGGGGGAGGGGAACGGGGAGCAGGATGCCTGCCCCCCGCGCACGCTGGAGGAGGATGAGGAGAGGAGGGAAGAGGAGGCGGAAGAGGAGGGCTGGAGTTTCTGATGAGGGAGGAGGGAGGGAATTTGAATTGCGACCTGATTCGCCCTTGACAGCGGTCAGATAGTGTCGGCACTCAGCTAGCTTCATCCACACGAGCAGTCGAGAGCATTGAAGCACGGGCGCCAAGGAGAGTACGCGTTCACGGCCCATCCCCCCATTGCCCATCCAACCCCCAACGACCACACCTAAAGGTATGATAGCTTGGCGCCGTGCGTGTCAAAGCAGAGCAGGCTCCGACCCCAAACGGGCGAAGTAAGTGTCAAGACATCTCCATTCCCGCCCACCAACTGACCCATCCCCGACCTTATCGCTAGCCGAACAGGCTACGCCATTAACGGTGCACGAGCGTGGGTACAGAGAGGGGGGGAACATATACGCAGGAGAGAGAGCGGTTGAGAAGGACATAGTCTCTCAGCGGGTCCGCTGCTGGCACCCTCGCATCAGAAGGCATGGCGGGGCACGCTATTCGCACTCTCGGCCAAGCCTCCCGCGCCTGAGCACCATCAGAGAGACGGTCCTGACAAACATCCACGACGTCCGCACAACGTGGGCATGCAATGCAGTGACAGCAGGCAGCAGCACCACTTCCCTGCTACCCCATTCTCTGCTGCTCGCCGCGGACGTGGGATGGTGCGGAGGTGGAGGCTGAGAGGAATACATGAAGGTGATACTCTATGGTCCCGAGGGGATACACGCTCCGTCGCATTTAAGCCATCGTGGGCACCCGTAGGGCTCTGCGGGTCTACCCCCTCGGGAAATGGTGCACATATGTGGCATCCTGACATCCGCCTCTCCGCATGCCTACTGCAGACAACACTTCGCCAGCTCGGCATGGCGGGGCACGCTATTCATACTATCGAGCCTCGGCCCGCGCGTGGGGTCAAGCATGTGACGCCATGAGACAATTCCACCGCCACCTCCCACGCCATAACCCAACTCCAGCCCAGCTACTCATTACTGCCGCTCGCAACACACATGCGATGCAAGAAACAGGATGAGAAGGGAGGATGATGATGGGAGGGACCATGGGAGTCACACTGACCTCAAGAGGGGACACCTCGTGGCCAGCAATGCTCACCAGGCTCGCGGGGGACGCCCGCGGAAACTCCCGCGCACTGTCGTCGACACGTGCGGACATCCACATCCAATACTTCCTTCGCTGCACTGAACTATGAATCGACGATCAATGCATGCTGGCAAATGCGCAACAACATTATGCAGAGGCGCATGGAAGAGCAGTGACGATGCAAGAAACGACGAGGCAAATCGTACTCTTCTTTTTACTCTGAGGCAAAACTTGCAAGAGAGCATTCCGCGGCAGGCCTGGACACGTCATCCACGAGCCTGCTGCAATGTGGAAGTGTATTGCACGGCAAGACAGCACTGCACAACTGAGCTTGCAACACATGCGGAGGCGACGCGCGCTGGGCAAGAGCCAGCACCGCTGGCAGCGTTCACCTCCGCAGGGAGACTCACCACCCTTGTGAAAACACGTCTTCCCCATGTCCGTCATGTGATCGTCTGGGGCTTCGATCCCTCTCAACATCTGAACTGCGGGCTGCCTCATCTCGTCCCTTTGGCAACGGGCGCTCTTCTCCAGGAACCACACGCAGCTCCACCCTGCTTGACGTCGGTGGTGACGGTGCCGCCCCACTGGGCGCCATGGTTGCCACGATGGTCGGCTGCCCTGGGCATGCGATGCCCCTTGCCCTCATGGCGCGGCGCTCCTCCTCGGCGGCCTCTGCACGGCGATCGGCAGCTGCCCGCATGGCACGGCGGCATGCGATGTCTCTAGCCCGCATGGCGCGGCGCTCCTCCTCGGCGGCGTCTGCACGGCGCTCGGCAGTTGCTTTGACGCGGGCCAGTCGGGCAGCCTTCTTGGGCTTCCAGTCGTTGGCAGCCACATCATCACCAGCATCTTCTGGCACAGGCCCGCCATGCCCGCCATCGACATCTGCCTGTAGTTCTGCCGCGGCGCACGGCTGGGCCTGTGTCAGGATGGGCGCACCCGACCCTACCACAGACGCGGCAGGGCCTTGCGGTGCAAATACCTCCGCCTCCCGCGCTGGCACTGCTGGTGCCACTGCTGTAGGCTGCTGTCCCTGTGCCGCACCTGCTGCGAGCTGCCCGAACGTCGCGTGCAGCTCGCCGAGCACCGACGACAGCCCCAACAACTGCTGCGCCATGTTCACCTGGCCCCGCTGGAGCTCCGTGATGTCGGCTGCCATCGGCGACATCATGACATCGTTGTTCGGCTCAGGGTAGTGCATCTCCAGTTGGAGTAACATTAGCTGCGCCCTCGCCAACTCATTGTAACGCTGAGTCAGGACAACTAATACGTGCACGAGGGTAGCTTGTGCCTCAACGAAGTCAACCTGTGTCCGTCTCATCCTCCTCTCGGCCAGCTCCATCTGGAGCCTGTCCGTCTGCTGGAGACTGGCCGTCTGCGATCTGCACGCTACTATCATGGCCATGAGGACTGCATATTCCTGCGCCAAGTCGTTGACCACGCACACATGGCGCCCAAGCTGCGGACTTGAACGCAACTTCTTGGCGGAGGCGATGACCAGTCGACGAAGATGCCTCCTGTGTGCCTGCACTGCTTCACTAGTGCGAGGCAGCTCCTGCCATGAAGGGTGCGCCCTGGCCTCCTCAGGGAGCGCAGGCAACACTCTTGTCGGCTGCGCCGCCGAGTCCTCCGTGTCCGTGCCCTCCTCGACCTCGGACTCCTCGGACGTGACACCCGCCGACGTCGACCGACACGAGGCTCGGGTCCGCCTCGGCCCAGACATCGCGCGGCCTCTGCGAGCCTCAGGCTCGGGCGCAGCCTCCGCCTCAGGCTCAGGCGTCGGCACCAGCCGACGCGGGAGCATGGCCTCGGCTGCGGCGGCACCAGCCACTGCACGTTCTCCCTGCCGACTACGACCACGTCGTCGTCGTCGTCGTCTATCAGCACGTTCTCCCTGCTGACTTCGACCAGCCGTTCCCCCAGACGATCTGGCACGCTGATCGGACTGCGGGTTTGGCGTCTGCTGTCGCATGCCTTCCATCTGCTGCGGTGGCCCAACGTTGGCCCACGGCGCTTGGGCAGGCATCGGGCAGCACACTCTGCACGGACCATCCTGCATCATGTTGGGCTCGCCGCACTGCTCGCATCGCCATGCTGGTGGCGGTGGCGGGACAGGCACGACCTGCTTGCCCCTGCCCTTGCCCGTGCCGCCCCCTTTACCTCCTCCGCGATGTTGCCACGACATCGAACTGTGGTGATCGCGTAGCCGCTGCGCCGCGACGACAACTCGTAGCAGCACACATGCACTGGCGCAGGCCTGTCACTCACTACGGCGCCAGCTGGCACTCAGCTCCTGCCGCTGGACTGCACCCGCGGCGAGCGGGAAACCCTCGGCGTGCCACGCGTCGTAGTCGCGGCCAACGCCCAGGCCGCCGATCCGCGCAGCGGCGGGCGCGGGCCAGCACGCGTAGCCGCCCGCCCCTAGTGAGAGGTTCGCTGCACCTGTTACAGCACCCAAAGACCTCTCGAGCAGGGGCGGCAGCTGGAGGGAGGGAGGGAGGGAGGGGGGGAGGGAGGAGGAGGAGGAGGAGGAGGAGGAGGAGGAGGAGGAGGAGGAGGAGGAGGAGGGAGGAGGGGAGGAGGAGGATATGAAGAGGATATGAGGAGGGAGGAGGAGGGAGGGATGAGGAGGGATGAGGAGGAGGGAGGAGGATGCGGAGGAGGAGGAGGAAGGGACGAGGAGGAGGGAGGAGGCGGAGGAGGAGGGAGGGATGAGGAGGAGAAGGAGGCAGGAGGAGGAGGCGGAGGAGGAGGCGGAGGAGGAGGCGGAGGAGGTGGAGGATGTTTTGGAGGAGGCGGAGGAGGAGGCGGAGCTTCTGATGATGAGAAGGTGGTCGGACTGAATGGAGGGGTGGCGCGTCCGAAGTCTGGGCTCTTCCTGTCGTACTTCGGGCTGCAGTCGACCATGAGCTTCTACATGAAGTTCCTGCTTGCGAAGGTAGACCGGCCGAAGCGCAGCCAACTTAGCACCACACACGGACATTCTCACAAACGCACACATTCTCTCACGCACACACACACACACACGCACGCGCACGTACACGCATGCACATCCGCACGCACGCACGAACGCACACACACACACACTACTCTGATGAAGGCTGCGACGAAGGCCGCGTGGCCGAAAGTATTGAATGTAACGGTTTGATGGTGACTATCGTCTCTCAAACCTTCAGTTCGGTACCGACCACCGTCAGTTGGCGCGGGGAGCATGGTCTCCCCACCACGGAAGACGCATTGGGACGCTTGATTTGGCAGCGGCTCAGTGAAGATACTCAGCAGCGCGATCTGCCCAACGAAGTGACGCCCTTGCAGCCACCGACGCGGTTCAACCAATCGGGCTACTAGCCGATCTGGGGGCTAGGTGCGCAAGGGCATTGGTTCCCTCGCAAGTTCTCAGCAGCATGCGCACTTTACGTTGGTCACCCCTTCCGCCAAGGAGAATGTCGGAAAGTAGACTGAAGTCATTCAGCTCTGAGCTGATGTGCAGCGTTGTCCGCGCCCTGAGGGGCGGGGGAGAACGCAACCTCTGTATTGCGGCACCCGTTGAAGTAGGTGGTAACCGACGTTGGCGATGCCGACATGGAGGCAGGTGCAGTTTCGCCGCTTGCACCCTGACCTCCGTCGCAAGCAGCGCCTGCACGCCCTGCGTGGCCGCGCCTCGCACGTTCTTGAGCCTCGTGAAGGTGTCCGTCTGCTCTGCCAGTGGGTGCGGCCTTCCCTTCAGCAGGGGCCGCGTACCTCCGCAGCCCCTCCAGCGCCTCGACCTTGTCGCCCTTACCCTGATCCTGCCACGCCTTGCCTCCTCCCTCCTTTCTCCTCCCTCCTCCTCCTCCTCCTTTCTCCTCCCTCCTTTCTCCTCCCTCCTCCTCCTCCTCCTCCTCCTCCTCCTCCTCCTCCTCCTCCTCCTCCTCAGCGACAGCGACATAAGTCCAAAGGCCCTCTCCTCCTCCTCCTCCTCCTCCTCCTCCTCCTCCTCCTCCTCCTCCTCCTCCTCCTCCCCCTCCCCGGTTGTTGCCTCTCCTGCTGTTGCCGCCCCCTCCGCCTCTGCCACTGGACGCCCGCGGCGGCTGGTCCGCTTGGCCGCACGCCGCCCGCGGCGGCGCGTCCCCCCTTCGGGACCTCCGCGAACGCCCCGCGGCAGCACGGGCCCTTTGCTCTGCCGCAGAAGGTCGTCCCACGTCCAGTCGCCGCACTCCTGGCAGATCGTGCAGGTTCCTGGGGCAGCTGCTGCTGCTGCTGCTGTCCCCCTTTCTCTTCTCCCTCCCCCTTCTGCTCTCCTCTTCTCCCTTAGCCACGGGGCGACCTCTCGCGCAGGTAAAAAGTGCAGGTTCCGTTCGGTAACAAAGCATGGAAGCCTGGTACGCCCTCTGAATTCCAGCTTTCGCGCCGACAGGCGCCGATTAGTGCCCGGGAGTCGATGAGACAGCGCAGACGTTGCGTCGCCTAGCGTCGACGAGCGTCGATTTAGCGGCGATTAGCGTCAGTTAGCGTCGCTAAGCGTCGATTCACAAGAGCCGACAAAAGGGCGTGGGAGGCTACCATGAGTTGCCACCGAAGGTCGTCCCACGTCCAGTCGCCGCACTCATGGCAGACCGTGCAGGTTCCGCGCATCCCTCCTCCGCCTTTGCCCATCTTCGGCTCCTCCGAGCCGTGGCGCCTTTGCAGCACGTTGGCACCTCGCGCCAGCCTCTCTGGCAGCTTCTGGCGATCGCGGTCCGCCCATGCCGCGAGGAGTATCCGCGCCGTTTGCCTATGGCGCCGCTCGCGGTGGTGAGCAGCCGACTCGCGCGCCGCCGTCGCGCTAGTCCCAGCCCGACGACGACGACAACGACGACGACGACGACGACGACGAACTCCAGATGAGAAACACGGGTCCAGGGAGAAGTTGCGAGGTCCCGGACCGGATTTTTGAAGGACCTCTATCCTTCAGGCCAGCCGCTGCAGGTTATGCCTATTGCGTGGGCTGCGGAATGGCCCGGATACCTACTATCTGGGATGCATGTGAGCCACGTGCCAGCACCATTCACCACGGGCCGAGGTGGTTGATACCAAACAAGCTTGATCGGCTTGACCAATACGGCGACGCATCAGCCCACAACGCACACACACACACACACACTATATGCACTGGCGTAGACACACACTTATATATGTAAGTAATGTACCTATACGGCCAGCCTTCGGGTGATGAGGAGGTTGTGTGGGGGTGGAGAGGGGGGGAACCAACATCTGATTCAATCGATCTCACTATCGATCTCACTCAACGGGACATCACGGCCCACCATGGGACACTTGTCGATCTCACTATCGATCTCACTCAACGGGCCACCACGGGACACCACGGGACACCGCGGGGCACCTCTCGATCTCACTATCGGGCTCACTCTCGATCTCACGATCGATCTCACTCCACGGGACACGGGACACCACGGGACACCTGTCGATCTCACTATCGATCTCACGATTGATCTCACTTTTTGGGACACCACGGGACACTACGGGGCACCACATCGATCTCACACTATCGATCTCACTATCGATCTCACTCAACGGGCCACCACGGGACACCACGGGACACCGCGGGGCACCTCTCGATCTCACTATCGGGCTCACTCTCGATCTCACGATCGATCTCACTCCACGGGACACGGGACACCACGGGACACCTGTCGATCTCACTATCGATCTCACGACTGATCTCACTTTTTGGGACACCACGGGACACTACGGGGCACCACATCGATCTCTCACTATCGATCTCACTCAACGGGACACCACAGGCCACCACGGGACACCGCGGCACACCGCGAGCCACCGCTGGACGGACGGACGGGGGAGCAACATTTGTTTTGTTTTCGCCCTAGCAACGGCGGACACCACGGGACACCACGGGACACCACGGGACACCGCGGGACACCGCGGGACACCGCCGGACGGATGGCGGAGGAGCAACATTTGTCTTGACTTCGCCTCAGCAACGGCGGGTTCATTCCTTTCGCGCGCCCACGCAGCTTCGCCTCGCCCTCACGCACGACACGAACGAAACGAAACGATTTCCCGCTTGGGGGTCTCCGTTTCACTGCGATCTCCCCTCCCCCCCAATTTCCGACACATGTATGCTTACGCGGAATTATAGTGCGTGCTTGCATGCGTACGTGGACGACGCATGCGCATTTGTCAATGTGTACGTTTCCAACGGAAGTCGCAACCCCGCTTGGACGGCGGCTGAGACATTCCCACTTGCGATCAGGAAAAGTGCGTTTGAGCGTGTGTGAGTGTCTTTCTCCGCGTGGCAGAGTGTCACCAGACTTGCTCATTGGTCACTTCCTTTTGAGCACCACCTTCCTGTCGTTCACGGTCCTCGTTGTCAAGAAAGGTTGCAGCTGTTTCCTCCGCGGTGAAGCAGTTGGAGGCAGCGGTGTTTCTCGACAGGGCAGATGTCCACGCGCAGGCGGAGCTGTGCGTCTGCCCAGTCAGGCCCGCCATGCTCATCTCGTCCCGTATCAGTATTTGGCGGGCCAGCCTGGATGCCAGTGCGCGTTGCACTGAATGCGCATCAGCGGCACACTTCGTCCTGTTGGATCTGCGCCGGTTCTTCTGCATGCTGCCCGTGACGATCATTTTGTTGCTTTGCAGTGGTCCAGTCGGCCTTCGGCCACCCGCGTTGCTTTTCTCTGTCTTCCCGAAGACATCGTCGTGGACCATCTCCGTTTGTACATGTTTCTCTTGACAGCTGGAACAACGAGTCAGAATGACCTTAGCTTTGAAGGGCCATTATGTATTCTTTTACCGTGTCTGGGGCTCTCCACCCTGGAATGCTTTTCGCTGCGGGCATCTCCATGAGCCCTTGGGTCATCGGCGCCGCGGCTCAGGAGGAGGAGAAAGAAGAAGAGGAGGAGGAGGAGGAGGAGGAGGAGATGGAGGAGGAGGAGAGCGAGGAGGAGGAGGAGGAGGAGGAGGAGGAGAAGGAGGAGGAGGAGAGGGAGGAGGAGGAGGAGGAGGAGGTGCTCTTGGCCCGTGCTTAGGTGGCCATGTTTCGGCTGTGCTGCCATCGTGGCTTTACCGCGCGCCCATCGGCGTGCGGCATCCATACCGCAGCAGATGTCGTGCTCACCGTCCTGCGCTGCCCTGCTCTGCTTCACGGTGCGCACGGGCTCTTTCGGCGGTTGCGAGGGCGTTTCTGTCCGGGAAGGAGCGTACGTGTTTGTATCGAGGGCGTCCAATATGTCATGGCGCCAACATCGCAGAGCGAATTTCGCTCGGAAAACCATGGGAGGGGCCCGGATTGTCCTGTAGAAATTCGTTCTGGATTTCGAGGTGGATTTCGTGCGGTTTTTTTGGCCAGGAATGAAGACTAAAAAGTACCCACTTGAAACTCACTTCGTTTTTCGCTCGCCGTTTCAGGGTTTGCATTGACAGAATTCCACGCAAGTATCCGCTGCAGCACGTCTGCAAGGTCGGCGCAGCGACAAATGGGAGTGACGACTAGGGGTGTAGATATCCGGGGCCATGAAGTCTCTCAGACGTCGCGGTGCCATATTTCTCTTTCAGCACGTCGCTTGTCCCCACCCCCCGTCCGCGCACATGCTTCAGGTCATGATGCGCTAACCCCACTTTTCTTGGTCCCCCTTTTCGGCGCACTCAATTGGCGTGAGTGCACGCGTGCGGACCACACCTAATCACACGCCTGCGTAAAGGCGACGGAAGAGAGAGTGGAGGGGACATGCCTATATGAATGCATAGCAAATTCAAAATTGTTGGACAGAACGCGCATGCATACAGTGGAGGCCCATGCCAAGAAGCACCCTGATTGCCTCCAGGTTGCCCTGGGTTACTCGGGTTTCGATGGTTGTGCGATGGAAAACGCGACGTTCCCACACCAAAAATCAATGGACGTCCTGGGGTCTCAGGGTTGGGTTTCTTGTGGACTGGCCTCCGTTGTATTCACATAGTATATTCCTATGCGCTGCTCGCGTAAGAGCTGGAGGAAGAAGAAGGCTTCCCACCATCGACGGAGCAAGAAGAAGCGGCACCAACACCACCTGCAGGGCCATCCCCGCCGAAGGTGTCCACGATGCCCCCCCGAGCTCGAGATTGGAGGTCTTTCGAGCAGGACGCAGAAAAACAGGGACACCACACCACCCCGACGACTTCCTCTGCTCCCTGCCGATGGTGGTGCTGGTCCAGCTTCCCCCCTGTGCAACGAGGTGCGTGTGGCCGAGAACCTCAGGGGCGTGCCCGCTTCCTTCATGATCACGACCAGTCAGCAGCTCGTCGGTTTCACGTTGTTCCTGCTGTTTATAGGCGGGCGAGCTTCTCATCGTGCTTAGTAGTAGGATGTGCCCTTTTCCACCACTGTGCCTCGACGCTGATCGTGAGCGAGCCTTGTCACAGTCGCCGTCGTCAGACGCGTCGTCTCTGCCGTGGTGCGTGTTGCTCTGCTCGGGACTCTGTGCCCCTCACCCGGCGACCACCCTCCACCCCCGAGGACCCCCGGGGTCGATTTTGGAGGAGGGGGGTCGTTCGGCGCACGCTGGGAGGGAGAGGAGGACGCGGAGAAGGAGCAGGAGGACCAGAGTAGACTCAGGTCAGCGTCCGTTCTTCCGACGGCGAGGTGGTCGTTGGATCACTTGTGAGCGTGGACGTGTCCGCCTGCGGTCGCACGCGAGGACCAGAGTAGGCCAAAGACGTATCAACGCAAGCACGCTCCCGTACAGTCAACCCGCATAGCAAGGATGGGCAGCCGTGCCAAGGGTACCCTTGCATCCTTGCCCCTTCGGCCCATCCTCGGCGACGTGCGCTGGCCAGCCTCACTCTGAGAACGTGAATGTGGCCCTCCGAGGCCCTTGCATCCTTACCGTGCATCCTTATGACACGGGTTCTTTGTGGGCCCCAGAAACGGCAGGGCCGTTTTTCACAGTTTCCGGAAAAAATGTCCCTTGAAAATGGAAACGGCAAAGAAACGGCGACCTGAAACGGCAAAAAAAATGCTCCAGGATTGGACCCGGAGCCGGAACCGGTCAGATAACGGCGACGGAACCGGTAAAACAACAGCGTCGGAACCGGCAAAAAAACGGCAAAACGGAATTGGTAAAAAAACGGCCCTGTCGTTTCCAGGGCTCATTAAGCACGGGTTGACTGTACCGAGGCCCCTCCTCCTTCGACCCTGCACGAGCAGTCGCTCCGCTGCGCGAGGCGCCACCCCCTTGAGAGCAGCGCGCGCGCCTCGGGGCTCTTCGGGGCCATCGCGGAGCCACCTGCTCTGCGGCCTTTGGGAGAGCCCAGCGAGAGCGAAGAGATGAGAGTACAGTCGGGGCCCTGAAGAAGGAACCCTTTTCGTTGGGGAGGGGCCCCGCGTTCCTTAAGTGTTTCACAGCTTGCCGCCTCAGGCTTTCCTTATGTTTGCGGCAGGAAATCGAAGGTTAACGTATGGAAAAAAAGGGGGCATCGTTCATGATTTAGGGTTCCTTAGGTCAACGCCCCGACTGTACAGTCAACCCAGACAGTAAGGATGGGCAACCTTCCCAATGGTACCCTTGCAGGCTTGCCTCTTCGGCCCATCCCTCAGCGACTTTCGCTGGCCAGCATCGTTAGGAAAACGTTCACATGGGTCTCCAAGGCCCTTGCATCCTTACCGCGCATCCTTGTGATACGGGTTGACTGTACGAACAGACATCGACGGACCGTACGGGAAGGAATTTGGCCTCTCGGGGGGGCCCTTGGGGGAGGCTCTGTGGCATGTTGGAGGCGGTCCTGGGCCGTCCTGGGCTATCGTGTGCGATCCCAGAGGCCATCCTGGGGCTTTCTGAGGCCATCTTGGGCGCTCCAGGACTCCAACGACCCGCGACCAGGCCTGTCCAGACTCAGGGAGCGGGGCCGGGGGGAGAGGTTAACATCTCCCTCATGGGAAAGAGGGAGGTTGGACTGGAAACAACTATTCAGGCGATCGCAAATAAACATGGATAAAGGGGGCGCGGATTAGCGACCATTCCCGTTTCCATGGGAAGTCGCGGATTTCTGCCGCCGAGTGAGTCGCACCGGCCGCATTTTGGGGATGGCACCTCTTCCGATCCATGGATTTGGCGACCGCGCGCCAAATCCATGGATCGCTAATGCATGTTTGCGCGTCCCCGAATTATGTTCTTGAACCACCTACGCCCAGAGGGCTGGTGGGATCGAGGCAGGAGCTCCGTTGTGAGAGAAACGGCTCCCATGCTTCGAGTCGTAAGGAATGCGACAACTTGGGGTCATACAATTCTTGGAAGTGTCCAGCAGCAGCTTGCCCCGCTCTGAGAAAGGAGTCGCCCACCACCCGAGTAATTGTTGCACAGGTTTAGAAGTCTGGTTGCGCAATCAAGCGAAGTCTTAGGCGAGAGCCCATGTTGATGACGATTTGCCTTCCATCCATGCAGCTGCTCCGCACTGTACTAGTCTTTCAGTACTGTTTCGCTTCCCTCCCCCACAACCGATTGTTGTTGCTTGTACTCTGGGGAGATACTGGACCCCCTAGAGATCTACACCATACGCGTTCGTCGCGATTCCTTTTCGTCTTTTCGCCTCCTTGTGGCCTCGCTTGTCAGCATCTTCTGTCTCCTCATCCTGGCCAGCATCGTCCTCCTGCTCGGTTTTATCTTCCGCAGAAGAGCCTCCTCCTCCAGTTTCTCCTGCGGCGTTTCCTCTAACAAACGCCTTCTGTGGGGGATCTACTGCATGGTTCCTCCTGCAGGGGGGGGGGCAGTCGTTTCGGCCTTGCGCGGGTGCATTGCGAATCGATTCTTCCTGCGGGCGGGGGGACAAGAGAATGTTTCTTTGTGTTGCTTGGGGCTTGACGGGCGTCATGGCCCCCGCCCCCCCCTCCCCCATAGCTGCCGCCCCGGTTCGAGAGGCTTCGGCGCCGTACCAGGGTCGGCGAACCTCTCTCGGGGCGGGCAGCCGCGCGCGCCGGCCCGCGCCCGCGCATCGGGCGCGGGGGCCCCGCCGCGCCGCCGCTCGCGCTGCCCGCGACGGGCCTGCTCCTGGCGTGCCCCTCACGCTGCTCGCGGCGGCTGGCTACCGGTTGATGTCCTGCCCCACGTTGTGCCGCCCAGCTGGTGTGGCCTCCGCTGCGGCGAGACGTCGCCTCCGGACGCGCAGGGTCGCCATCCGGCATGCGCAAGTGCTGGCGATGGACGTGCACAACCCGATGGGGTGTGGCCCCCCCCCGGCCTCGTCGTGTCGCCCGTGGACATCCTGCTGCCGGAGCTCGTGGCGCACGTGGAGGCGCCGGAGGCTGTGGGTGTACGGGTGCCGCCGCTGCCGCCTGCCAGCCCCGCGCCAGGTTTGGCTGGCTTGGGCGCCAGGACGATAGCACCAGCTGCGCCGTGGTGGTCGCCGAGGCTGGTTGGCTTGCGCTCGCGATCCAGCCCCTTAGGTTATTTCTCTGGCGGCGCGGTCGCGAGCCGCTGCCACTGCCGGCCCCCTGGTGACAACGTGCCCGGTGACACCATACCGCGCTGCATGGCCGAGGCGCCGCGCCGGTGCGTCGCGACAGGCTGGGGCCGGGCACTGAGCAGTGGCTAAGCGCGAGGCTGATACGGCACGCGTGACCGCAGAGGAGCGCCAGGCTGCAGCCGCTTGTGTGGCTCGCACTCGTGCTCTCCCTCGTGCCGTCCCTGCCGCACGTGTTCCTGCTAGTGATGATGCAGATCACTCTGCCTTGTGCCCGCCTTGCTGCACGTCCAGCCAGTGCTGGTCCTCCCGAGGCGCTGCTGGCTGACCTGATCACCGGCGTGGAGTTGCATAGCGAGCACCACGGTAGTGCCGACAACCACGCCAGCGCCGATTCCCACTCCTCCTTGAGCACCGCGGCCGCAGTGGAGCTCGGCATGACTGCTGAGCAGCGGCGGCCCCAGGATCCTACTGAGGCTGCTCCGCCTACGTTTGCTCTCCTTCGGCCGATGGCGATGCAGAGGGTGTACATGCGGACTCGCCCCGCGCCAGAGGACCTTCTGGGTGCCTTGGACCGCTACGCCGTGGTCTCCGATGCAGGCGCGCTGCTCGTGACAGGGGGCAGGCTGACGGCGGCGGCGATGTTGCTCACCATGCCAGACCGCGGGGTTGCCTTGCGCCGTTATTGGCAGCGCGTGGCGCTAGACCGTGATGCCGCTGCCGGTGCTGAGGCCGCTGGGCGCGATGACCGCACGGCGGAGGTGGGTAAGCCCGTTCCCCCCAGCGTCCCTTGTCGGGGCCCGGGGGAGGCGGCAAGGCAGCCTGCGGGCCCCACCCCGCTTCCAGCTGCGAGAGCGGAGATGGACAGGCCCCTCCCCCCCAACGTCCCCTCCCGGGGCCAGGGGAAGGCGGCGCGGCTGCCTACGGCCCCCCGATACCAGTTGCGAGGTCGTCACCGGCCGAGGTGCACGAGGAGGGCGCGAGGAACTGGGACCCAGCTGGCCTCATGGCGGATGGCAGCACGGAGCACCTCTCGAGCCGGAGGCCGACGCTGCCCTCGCACGGCCGTGGTTCCATGCTCGCGTCCGTGAAGGACTACGTCAATCCCGCGACCACCGCTGCGCTGCCGGGCTAATGTCCCGCGCGCCCTGGACCCTGGAGGCATACTGGATGCGAATGATGGCTCACGGCGCTTTCTGCGAGCTGTCCCAGAAGCAGTCCGTGGACGTCCCCGTGGCGACCGGCGATTCAGGTTTCAATGTACTGACGCCGAGCCACGCCGACTCTAAGTTGCAGCTGGTCGCCGGGACACCCCTTGGCCGCCTTGCCACGATGGCGATCGCTGACAAGTTCTTCCCGCGCGGTCTGCCAGGCTCTCTGAGGCGCCTGCTGAGATAATCGTGCTGCATTTGCGCTGCGAGTGTGCGAAGATGTCTCAGCTTGCACTGATTCCGCGTGACCATCGCGGCCATATTTTATCGCTGAGCTTGCGGCATGACATGTAATTACACATTTGCTGTTTATGTTTGTGCAGTGAAGGGGGATTGGAGGGGGGAGATCAGGATCAGTGGGTGGATCGGTGTGGGAATGGTGTTGGAATTTCTGGATTCGTAGTCGTCACTCTTTGGCTACTACGTGCAGGGAAGATGGCGGATGCCAGTCAGATGTGTCCCAGCCTTGACCCCGCTCGTTTTCTGCTGCTCCGAGATTGGAGTTTTAGGATATGTGCCCCAGTATGACTCTCACTTCTCGGTTTCATCTACCATCATCCCCTCTGTGCCTGCCTACCTGAAATTGTGCAGCCAGTATCTACAAGGGACAACGTTCCGGAAGTGATACGTATGCGCCCCAGCCTCTTCCCTTCCGCTCGTTGCTGCCATCCTTCCGAGGCTGGAGGTTTGAGATGTGCGTCCCATTCCCACTCTTCCTTCTCGGCTTTACCTTTATTCCCAACCCTCCTATGGTTGGGTACTCGTTTTGAATAGAGCAGTGCGGTCGCCCCGTCCTCCTCCTCCCCTCTCCTCCCCTCCTCCTCTCCTGTTTCCTGCGCTCCCCTCCCCTCTTCTCTCGTGCCGTCGGCCTGCGCCCTGTGCAACTGTCGCCACTTTCGCGGGCTCCTGGGAGGCCCAGCAGAGGTGGGTCCCACGCGGATCACCTCGGTAGCTCGCCGCCCCTTATGGTGCTTGCGATCCGCGCAACTGCGGCCACTTTCGCGGGCTCCTGGGAGGCCCAGCAGAGGTGGGTCTCGCGCGGGTCACCTCGGTAGCTCGCCGCCCCCTGGGGGGCTTGCGATCTGCGCAACTGCGGCCACTTTCGCGGGCTCTTGGGAGGCCCAGCGGAGGTGGGTCCCACGCGGATCACCTCAGTAGCTCGCCGCCCCCTGGGGGGCTTGCGACCTGCGGAACTGTCGCCATTCTCGCGGGCTCTTGGAGGCCCTGCGTAGGTGGGTCCCACGCGGATCACCTCGGTAGCTCGCCGCCCCATGGGGGGCTTGCGATTTGCGCAACTGTCGCCATTTTCGTGGGCTCTTGGGAGGCCCAGCGGAGGTGGATCCCACGCGGATCACCTCGGTAGCTCGCCGCCCTCTGGGGGGCTTGCGATCTGCGCAACTGTCGCCACTTTCGCGGGTTCCTGGGAGGCCAAGCAGGGGTGGGTCCACGCGGATCACCTCGGTAGCTCGCCGCCCCCGGGGGGCCTGCGATCTGCGCAACTGTCGCCACTTTCGTGGGCTCCTGGGAGGCCCAGCGGAGGTACGTCCCACGCGGGTCATCTCGGGACCTCGCCGATCCCTGGGGGGCTTGCGATCTGCGCAAGTGTCCCCAGTTTCGCGGGTTCCTGGGAGGCCCGGCGGAGGCGGGTCCCACGCGGATCACCTCGGGCCCTCGCCGCCCCCAGAAGGGGCTTGCGATCTGCGCAAGTGTCCCCACTTTCGTGGGCGCCTGGGAGGCCCAGCTCAGGTGGGTCCCACGCGGATCACCTCGGTAGCTCGCCGCCCCCTGGGGGCCTGCGATCTGCGCAACTGTCGCCACTTTCGCGGGCTCTTGGGAGGCCCAGCGGAGGTACGTCCCACGTGGATCATTCGGAGGTACGTCATACGCGTTTCTTTCAACGCCCCTGTGCTTCCATTTTGTATAGTTGCCGTTCCTCTTCTTGTTGCGCCCTTCTGAAATCACTGTTTGGTGCTCTTTTTGCGCACTGCGGGTCCTTCAGAATGCCAGTCTGCACTGAGTGGTCCTGAGCATAATCGCCACATGTATAGAAAGAGCCGGGTACGTCACAGGGTAATTTGGTTTCCGTCCCTTCCTCTCCCCCCATCCCCCTTCCGAGTGGCCAAGAACCACGCCGCGGTCGTCGTTTCTTCGTTCGACCCGATGCCAGCCACTTCGTATGAGAGAGGAGTGATTCGGGGGGACGCTGACGGGATGGGGCTAAGGGTGCGTTTAGGTCTCTTGGTGGGGACGAGGGTTGCACACGCCATGAACACAGACTGTTGGCTTTCCGCGCGGAGTTGTTGGATCCGCGCTGGGCCCCCCCTGGCGGCGCTGGGCACCAGAGGGAGAAGTCCACCGCAGATCCAAAAAATCCGCACGGGCGCCGAAGGCTTGTGTTTATGGCGTGTTGTCTTCCTCCAGGGAAGGCTTCTTAGAAGGAGTCCGCTCCTTAAAAGGCGCTGGTCTTGTCTGTAGGTGCAGGGCCCGGCGCCTCTCAGAAGCGGCCTCCTTCCAAGAAGCCTTACCCCCTCGCCCTGCCCCCTAGTGCGCGCCGCGAACACATGTGCGGTTCGATCGGGAAGTTGTTGTTTCTTCTCAATCGGGGGGGGACAGACACGTCGATTCGTGAATTGTCCGCTTACGGTTCTCGAGAGGGCGCCGCGGCCGTCATTTTCCAGGCTTGCGCCCGCCAGGTTTGGGCCCGAGGTCGTTTTCGCTAGACCACGTTTCACTAAAGGGGGCTCTGTCCATCTCCGATAAAGCAGTGATCCCGCTGCAGCGTTGGCCTTCTTTCGGGATTGGCGCGCTGCCCCCGCCGTTCGGGACGTCGTTCTCTCCCCCAGCGTGGGCACCGCCTCTGGCCATCCGAGTCGTTCCTCGTCGTGGTCGCCTCCTTTCCCTCCTCCGCCTTCCCCTGGTCATCATGCTTCTCCCTCCTGCTCGTGCTCCTGTTTATGTTGCTTCTTCTGCTGCTGCTGTTGCCCCTCCTCCTCCGTCTTGCTTTAAGTTGGGCATGTCCCTCTACAGGAGGAGTATTCATATAGATAATAAAAATGTCGTCTTGGAATGATATATGAGAATTTGGACTATTTTGTATTTGTCGTTCAAAATCCGCCTGTCGGAGGACCCGCCCGACCTAAGTCTTGATCCTCCTGCTCCTCATCCTGCTCCTCGTCCTCCTCGTTCCCCGTCGATGCCCGAACAATTCACAGGCGGGTACCGTGCTTCCCATTTCCCCACATCCGAAGTGTTTGTTTGTTTCCTCTGGACACCCCGTGATGGAACAATAACCCATATCATCATCATCATCATCATCATCATCATCATCATCATCATCATCAGCATCATCAGCAGCATTAGCATCAGCATCAGCATCAGCACCAGCAGCTCATCATCAGCAGCATCATCAGCATCAGCATCAGCATCATCGTCATCGGCGGCGGCGTCATCATCATCAGCAGCCGCATCATCATCATTGTCAGCATCCTCGTCCTCATCCTCATTATGATCATCATCATCATCATCATCATCACCAGCATCATCATCATTATCTCAGCCGCCGTCATCAACCAATCAGCATCATCACTCACTCTATCACACACTCACTCTCACTCGTTATTCACCAACTCGTTATAATGTCATCATCCAGTCATGATCACCAGCCATCAATATCATTGCCATCATCAACACCATCGCAGACCACCATCGTCATCACTATGACCATTCCAGCATCATCATCGACCAAGCGGGAGCCTCGTCTGTGAGTGGCATGCGAGGAGGTCTCAGGCGAGAGCCCCCCTCTCTATGGGCCCCGCAGCTCATGTTGCTAATCCGAGCGGGTCACCGGGATCCTGCAACTATCATCACGTTTGGCCTCTTCGAGCGGGAGCCTCGTTTGTGAGCGATTTGCCAAAAAGTCTCGAGCCGGAGCCCCCCCCCCCGGGGCCCGCAGCTCATGTTATATTCATCCGAGCTGGCCATCGGGATCTTGTCAGTGTCGTCACTTCTGGCTTCTTCAAGCTTCAGTATGGAGGAGGTCTCAGTCGGGAGCCTCGTCTGTGAGTGGCATGCGAGGAGGTCTCAGACGGGAGCCTCCTTCCCTGTGGGGCCCTCAGCTCATGTTGGCAATCCGAGCGGGTCATCGGGATCCGGTAATTGTCGTCATTGTTGGCTTCTTCAGGCTTGGGTATTGAGGAAGTCTCAGGCGGGAGCTTCGTCTGTGAGTGACTTGCGAGGAAAATTTCAGGCGGGAGCACTCTCCTTTTGGGGCCCGCAGCTCATGTTAGTGATCCGAGCTGGTCATCGCAATCATCCACCAGGCATTCTGAGCACCCGAAAGTGGCAAATCCTGAGGATGTCTCGAGCGGGGGCCTCGCTTCTGATTGAAATACGAGGAAGTCTCAGGCGGGAGCTCCCCCCCTTCTGGAGCCCGCACTTCATGTTTGAATCCGAGCGGGTCATCGGAAATATCTACCAGGCATGGCTCTTGAGCACCCCCAGGGGGCAAATCGTGAGGATGCGTTGAGCAGGTGCCTCGTTTGTGAGGGGATTCTCCGAGAGGAAGTCTCAGGCGGGAGCCGCCTCCCTATGAGCTCTTGCACTTCATGTTCGAATCCGAGCGGAATCATTTACCAGGCATATCATTTGAGCACCCCAACGGGCCAAATCGTGAGGATATCTCCAGCGGGGGCCTGCGAGGAAGTATGAGGCGGGAGCCCCCCTTGAATGGCGCCCGCATTTCAGGTTGGCAATCCCGGCGGGTCATCGGAAAAATTAACCGGCCATCGGAGAACGCGCTTTTTCTGGCCGTGGCGGCGACGGTGCCGAGGAAATTGACATGCTTGCCCCGGCCAGAAGGAAGGAAAGGTGCATCAGGAGAACAGGCGGGATGGAGATGATGAGAGGGAGAAAGAGGAAGAGGTGGAGGACAAGGATGAAGAGGAAGAAAAGGACGAGGAGGAGGAGCAGGAGAAGACATGGAACGAGGAGGAAAATAAGAAGGGGACGGAGTACGAGGAGGAGGAGGAAGAGGAGGAGGCGCGACAGAAGGCGGGAGGAGGGCTTCCGCCAGGGCGAAGAAGCGAGGGGCAACCAAAATAGATTATCGTATGGGGTCTTTCCGTCGGAGCATTTTTGGGGGCAGAATCGAAGGCAACGGATCGTAAAAGGCTCGTTCATTCCTTCATCGTCCCCCCCCCCAGTTGTCTCCCTCCGCCCGATCTTCGGCGTCTCGAGCCTCTATCGAACCCGCTGCCCCGCCCTCAGGCGTCTCGCGGCTGCTGGGGAGGCCCTACAAGCCCAAACGGTTGACCTCGCGGAAGGAGGTCCTGCTCGTCCTCGCTTTGAGGACCAGCCCCCTCCTTCGGGGGCGGCCAGGAGGGGAGTCATGACTGGGAGGGGGTTGATATCGTGTCCGAGGCCATGTTGTCTTCTCCCCAGATTTCTGGCGGGCGCCCCCATCTTGTTTCAGTATGTCCCTTGGTCCCCCCCATCGTCCGCGCACGTGACTTGGCATCGCTCGGACGTGTGCATGTCTCCTTCGGCGAGGACCATCGAGGAGCATCCTTGATCGCGTCGCGAAAAAAACACGCGCGACACCGAACAAAAGCACAGGAAACGGACGCCCGAGCGGTGGCCAGCGTGCCGCGGGCTACGCTGCCCACGCCCCCCCCTTCCTCGGACGCCCCCGACTCCCGGGCGCCCGTGGGGCGCGGGCGGGGGCCCGCCGGCCTCGGAGGAGGGCCGGCCGTGACGGCCAGTCGAGGCCACGAGGAAGAGGAGGGAGGAGGAGGAGGAGAAGGAGGATGGAGGAGGAGGACAGAGGATGGAGGAGGAGGAGGAGGAGGAGGAGGAGGAGGAGGAGGAGAAGGAGGATGGAGGAGGACAGAGGATGGAGGAGGAGGAGGAGGAGGAGGAGGAGGAGGAGGAGGCGGCCGAGGCCCTTGGCAGGCCAGCCACGCTTGGGGGGAGCGGTCCTTTCCCCCCCGGGGGACCCATCGATTTCGGCACCCCTCCCGAGAGATGGTCGATGCGAGGGGGGTTAGGGACCGCGGCTCCCCCAGGTATGGCTGGTCGGCCCGGAAGCTTCTCTCTGCCGTCGCCGCTGCTGGGTGGGCTGCGGAAGCTGGTCGGCCGCACGGTGTGCCCCTTCGCTGGAGTGACCCCTTTTGGTGCGGGCACCCCGCGGGGGTCCCCCGGATCGCCGAGCGCGAGGCGACAGCGGCGCGCTGCGCGCGTGTGTGTTCGGCCCCCCCCCCCACCCGCGGCCCCCGAAAAGCCGCGCACCGGAGGTCACCACCCACCAAACCACCCCAACCCAACCCGAAGGCTCAAATTTGGTTACCCTCGATTTCCAGTGGCGGGGGGGTCGGGAAACCTAGAAGAGACACTCGTGGTCGAGCCCGCGCGGATTCGGCGCTGGGCCCCCGTGGCGGCGCCCCGGGCGCCGCCCCTGGCGCGCTCCGCGCGCCGGCTGGAGGGGCCCAGCGCCGAGCCCAGAGATCCTGGCGAGCCCTCGCAGCTTCGGCCTCTCTCTTTCTCTCTCTCTCTTTCGATCGCTCTACGTTGGAGTCGGGCCTGGCCCTCTGCAGGGGGGAAGATTCAAACATGGTCCAGATATTGTCTGGGGGCGATGGCTTGATTATTTTTGCTCATTTGGGGCTTATTAGAATTACTATTACTGGACTATTTCCAAACGCATGTTTTCCCGCGACGTGGCAGGACCCACAAAATGTCATGGCTCGCGCCGAAACCGGCGACTGCAGGCACAACAATCCGACCCTGCGGGCCGCGTTTCGCGCGTCGGTCATCATCAGAAACGTACGTGTGATTTCGAGGAGGGTTGTAGAAGTAGCACTCCTGCGCCGCGCACAGCACCCCATCGCCGCCAGCGGACGTCGCCTCGGGCCACGGCCACTGAGGGCTCCCCGCGCTGGCCTCCCAGGCCCTCCTCCCTCCTCCCTCCTCCCTCCTCCTCATCATCCCCCTCCTCCTCCTCCTCCTCCTCCTCCTCCTCGACGTACGATCGATCTGTGCCCCCAAATTGCTGCCCCCCCTCTGGCCGCCAGCGCGGGCATCGGGCGGGGCGAGGACCGCGATAAAATCGTTCCAGAGCCTTCCAGGAGGCTGTCAGAGCGTTCCAGGGCGCTCTGGAACGACCGCGGTGGCCGATGCATCCTCCAGAACCGCCAGATCGCACGGAGATCCCCGATGTGTGCCAGTCCGATGTTGTCCCGATGTTGTCCCGGTCATGGCTTCGTCTCAGGTCCCAGGGCAAGGCACGTGCCTCCATCGACCAAGCGGGCAGGCCTTTCTCCACGCGCCCACAACGCCCCCTCAACGTCGATCGTCTGGCGGAGAGCAGGTCGAAAAGCGAGCGGCAAGAGATTGTCTTTTTCCCCTCGGGCACGTGACGGACGTCACCTGGACCACCTCCTCCGCCCCCACCCCACACCTTTCTGGGTAACAGCATAATCATCGTACGTACAGTCGGGGCCCTGAAGAAGGAACCCTTTTCTTCGTTGGGGAGGGGCTCCGCGTTCCTTAAGTGTTTCACAGCTTGTCTCAGGTTTTCCGATGTTCTCGATAGGAAATCGAAGTTGAATTTCTGGAAAAAAGGGGGCCTCGTTCCTTATTTAGGGTTCCTTAGGTCAACGCCCCGACTGTAGGGGAGGGGGTGGCTGGACTTCCTGCTCGCGCGCACACTGTGGCGATCGCAGCGCAGCCCCGCCCCGAGGTACCCCATCCCGCACGTGCGTCCTCCTCCTCCTCCTCCTCCTCCTCCTCCTCCTCCTCCTCCTCCCCAGGGTCAGGAGCGAGAGAAGCACGCACACGTGCAGGACTCCACGCTGAGTTCGAGAGCACACGTTGCGCGAGCCTTCGCATCACGCGGCGGGTCTCGCGGACCGGGGGGCCGTCCATGTACGTGGGTGGGCACGAGCGTCCTTTGTGGGTTCCCCACCGGGAGACGACCGGTACCACAAGGAAGGCAACGAAACGGACAACGCACAGGCCTGTACTCCTCGGACGTCCCCGCCCCACAAGCCCGGACTGATGCCGCCGACGGCATTCGTCGGCGCGCTCCGAGCTCCGGGGGAGTGGTGTCGGCAGAGGGGTTCGACGTCGACCCACACGGCAAATCCGCGCGCGTGCACACACACCCGCACACACGCACACCCACAAACACACACACGGACACACACGCTCACGCCCGCGCACGCACGCGCACACGCACACGCGCACACACAAACGCACACACACACACACGATCACGCACGCGCACGCACACGCACACGCACACGCTCACACGCGCATACACACACACACACACGCACACACACACACACACGCACACACGATCACGCACGCGCACGCGCACGCACACGCACACGCACACGCACACGCACACACACACACATACACACGCACACACTTTTTGGCGTCGGCGGCTAGAGAGAGTATCTGCGCTGGCAGAAGAGGACACACTCGCACGCTCACGCTCACGCTCGCGCTCACGAACGCACACACGCTCACACACACACACACACATACACACACATTGTTAGGCGGCACACACGCGCTCATACACACACACACACACACACACACACACACACACACACACACGTACACACGCTTGCGTCGGCTGTTAGGCAGAGTCACTGCGCTGGCGAAAGAAACACACACACACACACAGACACGCACACACACGCACACACGCACACGCACACGCACACACGCACACGCACACGCACACAAACACGCACACACACACACACACACACACACACACACACACACACACACACACACACACGCACACGCACACTCGGACACGCACACGCACACGCACACGCACACGCACACGCACACGCGCACGCACGGACGACGTGTGGGAGACAGTGCGGAGCCTCGGTGGCGAAGGCACCGTCTGACCTGGTCCAAGGCTCCAAGCAGGAGGAGGGGAGGAGGGGAAGCATGCTCAGCTACAGTAGTCAATACTGTTTGCCTGCCGCGCGCCATTCTGAAGACCTCTGCCGCAACTCCATACCTGTGTGCTGGCTGCTCCGGGGCGAGCATTCTGCGAGCAGGAGGGAAAACATCCCGCTTCCAGTACGTCGTTCTCCCTGAACATCGGCCTCAACCTCCTCTCGCTGTCCCTCGTGCCGCTGTCCTTGACAATGATTCACGGGGCTGTCGCAAGTCTGCAGCTCACCCGGGGATGTGCACTAGCGTTAGGTCGGGCGTGTCCCCCCACCGGGGGATCTTGGAGGAAGACCATAGAATCATTGAATAAAAATGCTCCAGAGCAGTCCAAGCATAGTCGAAAAGTCGTCCCCTGACTATTTTTTTACTATTTCCGAACATTCCTTCTGCAGAGGGAAAGGCCCGACTCAATACTAGCAGGCGGGAGCTGAGGAGGACCATTCCGGCCTCGGGCAAGGATCCGTCGCTCCAGAGCGCTCCAGACCGCGTCTGGCGCGCCCCAGAGCGCTCTGGAACGGCCGCGGCGCCCGCTATGCATCGGGTGTTGCTAGAAGTAGCCCTGGCCCAAGGCCCCCCCCTAGGATTCTCGGGGTGGCCCAGACGGCCTCCAGGGCACCCCTCACGAGGCCCAGAGGGCCCCAGGGCTCCAAAGTGGAGCGCAAAGCTGGGGGCACCTCGGGCCAGGCGCACTTCCAGCAGCACCCGAAAGCATGCTGCAGGCCTGCTGACTCGCAGAGGTTCCCGCTTGGATTCCGACCCGAGTATGTCGCTACCTTGCCTTCGCCTTCGGGGAGGGAGGGATCGTGGGGAAGCGTTGAGTTGTACGCACTTGGCTCCCGAGGGGCAAGCCAGCGAACACCAGTGACTGGTGTGCCTGCCGCTGGGGCGCCCCGTGAGCCCGAGAGGGCCCAAGAGAGCCCGGAGTGGCCCTCGAGACGGCCCGCGGGAGAAGTCTATCGGACGCGGGCTGGCGACGTTGGGCCACGTGGGGTCGTGCCCTCTCATCAGAGCAGCTCGGATGCAACTCCTCGGAGGTCAAATTCTGAGTTTGCCCTGGTCCGAAGTCCGGCTTAATCCCGCTTCCTCCCGCTGAATCCGGCTTAATCCTGCTTAATCCGAGGCCCATTCCGGCGTAGCAGCTCCCAAATGGGGCTGAATCCTCCTTAGTATTTCCGACGAAAACCTCCCAGCATTGCCTCCTAAGAGCAGTGTGCGCTTGTGTGTGTGGGTGTGCGAATTAAGTGTGCAAGAGATCACGGAAGCTGAATCATTCTGGAATGGGGAACGCCTTAGCGCTCCTAGAATTACTGGAGCAGGCGGAGGAGGACTGAGGTCCGAAATCCGTTCCAAAACATTACTGGGACACTCTTGTTGGAAATATGTGGGTGGTTGTTCGAGCCGTGCCGGGGCCATTTTGGAGGCCAGCGAGTAGAAAAAGGGGCAGCGCCAGTTAGCCTGAGGCCAACAATGGCACAACATCAATGATAACCAATGAGTCGCGTTGTCTCGCTAAGGCTATCTTGGACGTGGGGAGGGGTCAGGACACCTAGACACCTCTCCCAGACGCACGCCTTTTGCTCACTCCCCCCACCCGCCGTCCCAACACATCCGCAGCACCCGAGTCTCAACAACTGCAGCGGTCGTCTTTCGATGGACGGCCACCGGGAACCAGACAGGCCCCATGGTGCGCGACGCTGGGGCAAGGTGCCAGGCGCGCCACGCGTGCCAGGCGCGCCGCGCGCACCAGGAGCGCGAGGCCCAAACGTGCCAGGCACGCCCAGTGCGCCAGACGTGGCACGTGCTCCGCGTGCGCCACGTGCGCCGCATGCGCCAGACGCGCCAGGTGCGCCGCGTCCGGGGCACGCCCCCGTGCACCTCGTGCCGCCGAGCGGCCGTCGTGATGTCTGGCGGACCTCTGCGCACGGCAGGCAGCGTGCCGGCACCCCCGCCGCTTGTGTCGAAGGCCCAGGCGACGCGATCGCAGGGTGCCCGCGCAGGGTCCGGGTGCAGCCGCGGCGTGCAGGTCAGAGTGTTGTCTGACAGGGATGGCGACCCTGCGCGCAGCAGGCAATATGCTGGCACTCCCCCGAACATGACCCGATATGTTGCCGAACAAATAGGTTGCAGTGTGTGTATATATATATATATATTTATATATATATATATATAAATATATCGGAGGTGAGGGGGTGAGATCGAAGTGGAACGGAGAGCCCCCCTACCGGGAAATCGATTTCGGTTTCGTGTTCGTGCGTGCCGTGCGGGCGAGGCGAAGCTGCGTGGGCGGGCGAGAGAAAGTCTCCTGTGGCTGAGGCGCGGCCGGACCAAATGTCTCCCTTCCGGGCGGCCGGGGGCCCGCGGTGTCCCGCCGGTGTCCCGCTGGTGTCCCGTGTGGCTGAGGCGCGGCCGGACCAAATGACTCCCTTCCGGGCGGCCGGGGGCCCGCGGTGTCCCGCCCGTGTCCCGTCGGTGCCCCGTCGGTGTCCCGATGATGATGATGTGATGATGATGATGATGATGATGATGATGATGATGATGATGATGATGATGATGATGATGATGATGATGATGATGATGATGATGATGATGATGATGATGATGATGATGATGATGATGATGGTGTTGATGGTGTCCCGATGATGCTGTTGATGGTGATGCGGATCGATTGTGAGATCGATAGTGATGTTGAATGTGAGATCGATAGTGAGATAGATAGTGATATCGGTTGTGAGATCGAACGTGAAACCGAATGTCAGATCGATTGTGAGATCGGTTGTGATATCGATAGTGAGATCGATAGTGGTATCGGTAGTGAGATCGATTGTGAGACAGAATGGGAGATCGTTTGTGAGATCGATGGTGATATCGATAGTGAGACAAATAGTGAGACCGAACGTGAGATCGATTGTGGGATCTATTGTGAGATCGATTGTGAGATCGATAGTCAGATCGAATGTGAGATCGATCGATTGAGATCGATAATGAGATCGATAGTGAGTTCGATAGTGAGATCGATGATGAGACCGAATGTGAGATCGATTGTGAGATCGGTTGTGATATCGATAGTGAGATCGATAGTGAGACCAAATGTGAGATCGATAATGCTATCGAAAGTGCGTTCGATAGTGAGATCGATAGTGATACCGAATGCGAGATCGATTGTGAGATCGATTGTGGTACCGATAGTGAGATCGATAGTGAGACCGAATGTGAGATCGATAATGAGATCGATAGTGAGTTTGATAGTGAGATCGATAGTCAGATCGAATGTGAGATCGATTGTGAGATTGTGGTATCGATTGTGAGATCAATAGCGAGACCGAATGTGAGATCGATTGTGAGATCGATAGTGACATCGATAGTCCGACCGATTGTGAGATCCATCGGTTGAGATCGATTGTGAGATCGGTAGTGAGTTCGATAGTGAGATCGATCGAGTGCGACGTTGGTCCCTCCCCCCCCCCCTCACCTCCTTATCACCCGAAGGGTGGTCGTATAGGTATATATATATATATATATATACGCAGGACAAAAGATTTCCTCTTGAGGTGCAAATGGCGATGCTGAGTTGGAAGTTCATGACCCAACCCCTTTGCCCCGCAGAATCTTAACACAGGCGGGTTCCGGGGTCCGCGGATCCGATTCCTGCGTTTTCCTGTTTTTAATATAGTAGTACAAATTTTAAACAGGGTAAAAATTGGATCCGCCGTAAAAATAAGACCGTACACGGATCCAGCAAATCCGAAATCGGATCTGCGCGGACGGAAATCGGATCCACGGGAACAAACACCAAAGCCACATTTGGTTCCGCGCGAACTTCATGGGATCCGGCGGTGGTTATCTCATACGCGTCTGCTCAAGACTTCAAGCCGTCGTTCCGGGCCCAAGAGGAAAAATGTTCGTCCTGGGGATGGGCGTTTTAGCCTTCGGACTGGTTGTTGGTTACCACATAGCCGACACACCACATTTCGCAGGCAGTCCGCTGTTGGTTACTACATAGCCGACGCACCACATGTCACAGGCAGTCCGTTGGGTCAGACGACGCAGGGACGAAACGCACAGGCGTTTTGGCCTTCGGACCTGTTGGCTATCACAGGCAATCCGTTGGGTCAGGATACGCAAGGACGAAACGCACTTACGCAGGACGGAAGATTTTCCTCTTGAGGTGCAAATGGCGATGCTGAGTTGGAAGTTCATGACCGAACCCCTTTGCCCCGTAGAATCTTAACACAGGCGGGTTCCGGGGTCCGCGGATCCGATTTCCCCCGTTTCCTGTTTTTTTCATCTAGTAGTACAAATTTTAAACAGAGTAAAAACTGGATCCGTTGTTAAAAACAAGACCGAACACGGATCCATCAAATCCGAAATCGGATCTGCGCGGACGGAAATCGGATCCACCGGAACAAGCACCAAAGCCACATTTGGTTCCGCGCGAATTTCATGGGATCCAACGGTGGTTATCTCATACGCGTCTGCTCAAGACTTTAAGCCGTCGTTCCGGGCCCAAGAGAAAAAACAAATCGTCCCGGGGATGTATGTATATGTGTGTGTGTGTGTGTTGCATTGTGCTTGACAGGGATGGTAGTGGGGTGTTAGCATGGCACAGGGCAGGTAATATGTTGGCAGCCCCGCCCTCCTTGCCAAAAACCATTGCAAAGTGATCGCAGGACGCCCACGCATGTTCCAGATGTGGAGGCAAAGTGCATTTGGTTTTGTGACAGGGATGTTGGGGGGGGGTTCATGGGTCTTGGTTGGCTGCCAGTCGGTGTGGGAGGGGGTGTTCGTTCAAGAGGCGTTCGCCATTCCGCCGACCTCAAGAGGAGGCGGGGAGTCCACGGTTTAGGCGTCGTGGGTTCTTGGGTACTATTTTGGGACCTTTGCGGGCGTCGTGGGAGCTTGTGGGGGTTTGGTGGAGCCCTTTGGAGGCAGTTTGAAACGTCTTGGAGGCCGTTTTGGCGCCTCTTGGGGTGCTTTTGGGGCCTCTTGGGGCTTCTTGGGGCCTCTTTTGGACCGGTTGGGGACTTCTTGGGGCCTTTCGGAACCTTTTTTGGGGCGGGCGGAAAGGTAAGATTTCTGGTTCGTGTTGCCCCTCTTGGCATCTCTTGGTGCCTTCTTGGGGCGATGTTTGGCTGTATTGGGCCCGT